CTATCTTCACTTATACAATCTCATTTCTCAACCTTTTCATTTGTGAAATTATTTATAAAACAAATTATTTGTACTTTACATCTAAAACTTATATAATTCTGGACCTATGTAGTTCTAACCGTTGGATGACCAAGGGCGATCAAAATTGGCCTCAATAGTTTTGAAGAATATAAGCATGTATTAATAATTTTAATATTATATTTGTTTATTAAAGAAAAACCAGTAAATCAAATTTATATGTCATTACATATTAACCAGAAAAAAGTAAAATTTTTTTTTATACGTAAAATATAGAGAATGGTTTTATTACAAAATATGAGAATACCAAGTATGATAATATTGTTATATAAAAACATAATCAGTTAAATATTGAAAGTTATTAAAGAAAAACATACATTAGAGTCAAAATGAACCTCCCCCTTAGTCATCCGAGGGTTAAGGGAGTATACATTAACTCAAAATAGGAACCTCCTTGATATATGTATATAGTATGTAGTATTAAAACAAATCTGACGTAAGAAGATTTTTTACAGAAACCCATTGTGGTTTATTAATTACTTTTTAAGGATTGTAACTGTTTGGTTTATTTCTTTTTTTATATATAACAATTGTAGGAACAAAACGTGACATTTCTGTCATAAGTGTCTTTCTTATAAAATGTGTGATAAATAATAGTAAGTGTAAAAACTTTTATAAAAAACAGTTTGTAATGATGTCTGGTAGGAATGTCATGTTTTAGGAAGTCTGATTAGATGATTGTACAACATACATGCATACATACATATAAATAGATATGTATTTTTAAAGAGTTGTTGTACATTTCAATATTGTTGCCTTATTCCGAGTAGATATGTAAAAATGTGATTTGTATTGTGTTGATTAGCATTGGCAGTTGAGTGCAAACTTTTATACATACATATAGTAGTATTTGTAAATATAATTTAAAAAAATATATATGTATACACCCTACCCTGCAGGATGTAGGATATTCTTGTGGGTAGCATTTAAAACATTCTATTTGTAAGAAAATTTTATGCACAAATAAAAGTTTTGTGTAAATATATTTTACAGAAAAATGTTATTTCAATTTCCGTTCATTGTTATTCAAGAAATTGTAGGATTTGTGGTTTTTCAGTAACATTTCAGAATGTGAGGAAATTCGTTTTCAGAAAACTATTGAATGTGGCATCTTATTAATGAAATTATAAAAAAGAAAAGATCAGAATGTTAGATTAGTTTTTATATTCATGAAATATAGGGTTGCCATCAACCAGTTTTTCATTTCGGTTAGCACTTAAAAAAAGACCAGTTTTTCTACCATTCTCAAGGCAATAGTTATCAAATTTAGAAAAGCTGCTAGAAACAAGAAGTTACAGCCTGGTCTGCCATCTGTTGATAAATATAAGACTTATTGCTTATTCTAAAGGATGGTAATTTGATCTACCTCCTTTCCGGGATTCACAAAGCGTTAGCACAAAATTTTAATCTTATAGCATTTTTTAAATCTAAATCATACCAGTATAGCTTACAATCTTTGAGAAAATAATTTTAATAAAATGTGTAATCCTCAAAAATCACCAAAAATGTGGCAACCCTAATGAAGCATCCAAAACAACTGAAAACGAATCATTTGATTATGTTGGATTTATTTAGCGTTCCCAGAACGATCTTTATATTTTATAAGAACTTTATACTAAGTGATTAGCTAAACTAAAATTTTGATTATTTAGGATGTGGGATGTTCTAGTTTTAGGAAAATGCTCAGGATAAGAAAAAGTGGAGATGCGTGTCCAACCACTCTTAGGACTGACGACCTTATGATGATGATGAAGGGGTACCTATACAATGGTAAATTTTTCACAGCATCCGCTATTTTCCATTTTTAAAAAAAATTATACAGATCTTTTTTGTAGATAATTAAAATCTATGTATAACATCCATTAATATATTAATTAATACAATACTAATTTTTGCTAACCCAATTTTCTGAAGTTTACAGGAAAACCCTAAAAAAGGTCACCGTTATTCATAATTTCATTTTTGAATCCCAAGTGCATTTTAAGTACTATCCATACTATCGTTATCAAGTTTTATTCCACCAAAAACGATAAAGTTGATAATGAAAGAAAGATCTCTTTACAAATCTTCAATTTTTAAAGGATAAAAGACGAATCCTTTCCTCAAAATATCTTTTCAACACCGTCCTAAAAAATTCCATCCTTTTAAATAAGTACCTATGCGACTTTTTATTAAATATTGGCTCACTTCTGCTGAATAAACACTAGTACTGTTTATGACCATTTTTTTTTAAGTTATCCGTTACATAATAATTGCTAACCATGTAGAAAAATACTGGTTGTCATGGATATAATAGATCAAATAAGTCAGATAAATAGCGCATTGTGAGGTCTTGTCAGCTGTCTTAAACGAATAAATATTATTCAAATACATTTTCAGACAATACCAATACTTTACATACAATATTTTCTCAATAATAAGTAATAAAAAATTCACAATTTCCATTTTTTTATCATTAATAAAGCTTTATTATTATTTATAATGAATTTTTAAAAACTAAAATTTGCAAAAATAAATTTTATACGAAAGTAGATAAAATCCATGGTATCTCCACTTCTCACCTTGAGCCAAATTTTCGAATTTCTCAAAAACTCGAGCAGCCTGTATTTATAACTAGTCACGGTTTACCTTCACCCCTCTTAACTCCTGTTTGTATGTCTCTAACTAAACTTTCATGTCCGAAACGATGTCCTACTAATCTATACCCTATTTGTTATTGATTTCTACAACGTCCTCTGTTCTACTCTTTCTAATATCTTCCTCCTCATTTTTTCTATCCACTGTATTTTTAACATCCCCCTATAACACCATATGTCAAACGCCTCTAACCATTTCTTTTCTGCAACGTATCACATCCATACAGGATCGTGCTCCAAATATACACTTTTACTAATCGTATTCAGATTTCCATGTTAACCAATCTCCAGCACGAAAGTGATTTTTTTTTTGTTAAAAACGACCCGACCCTGCCTTATTCTCTGTTTTGTACCTCTAAATATCCATTCAATATTCAACTTCTACTTGTGTATCGTCTCCTATTTTTTAATTTTAACCCTTTACTGCTACATCAACCGCAAATCTAAGCATGCTAATCTTTTCTCCCTGAATGTCTATCGTCTAACCCTGAAACTATCCCGTCTACGATAATATTAATTGCATCTTCGATATACAGATCAAAAAGTAGCAGTGACAATGTACAACGATATACAACATTTACGGCTTTATTTTTTGTATAAACATAAATATCATCCCTACATCGATCCTTGCATCTTATTATTATCATGAGAAGTTAAGCTAATTGTTCTAAAATTTCCATTTACAATAATCCGGAATTTTCCCCTCTCGTATCATCTCCCAACTCTTATCCTGCGTACAGATTCCCTAAATATTATTTCCACCTATCCGCCTTTTCCTCATTTTCTGGCATTTCTTGGCATTTTTCATCTGTCCTGCTCTTATATTTCCCCCATTCCTCTATTAATCTTTTAATCTCATTTAGCTGTTTATTAATATTGAATGAAAAAATGTTTCGCCAACGTTGGTTTCTTCAGATGTGAGCACTTATTTCAAAATAAGTTGGGAAATTGGCTATTTAACAATATCCCCATTTTCACCTTATTAAGATCCCATGTTACACTTTACCTCTAGGAATAAGAGACACATGTTACATGTTAATAAATAATTTGTGAAAATCATCCAGATAAGCTTTATCTTTTTTTCTGGTAAAATAATTAAGTCATTGAATCAATTTGATTTTGTCACTCTTCTGCTTAAATAATTATTTTTGATCTATTTAAATATCAAACATGTGTATAGTGGGTCCTTTCCCGTTAATTATGAGATGTTTATAAAATGGATATTTCTAGTAATTAACAGTAACACTAATACAACATTTACTTAAATTCTTTATTTATTATAATTATATGATAAAGAAAGCATGAGAAAAGAATTAACAAATAAATTTTATTAATCATAATCTATTTGAAAAAATCAATGGCAAAGACTTTAAATTGATAGGTAAATAAATAATCGTAAGGGAATAAATTGCTTTAACACGTTGGCTAGTTGTTTCCACAGGTAATACTAAAAAAACTTAATAGATTATAAGTCAATAAGAAATAGACGACTTCTTAGGCATGAAGGGCTAGTCAGAGACATATTAGAGGCAGAAACAGGAGTTAAGAGGAGAGAGGAGTAGAGGTGGACCTAGTTTAGGTTACTATTCGCAAATAGTTAAGGGTGTGGGACGATCTAGTTATAGGTAAGAGTAGAGGTGCGTGTCCAGCCAGACTTAGGACTGACAACCTTATGATGATGAATAGATTATTTACGATTATGGCGTTATAGGATTTAAAATGCTTTGGTTATGGAGTTATAAGCTTTTAAATATGAGGGTTATACAGTTCGAAACGCTTAACTTTAATGTTTTTATTTTAATTTTGAGGACTAATTTTCTTTCATAAACACTACGGCCTTCTCAAAACCGTAAAAAAAAGGAACGTCCATTTTGTAATCTGGCATTGTTTACAGGCGCATAAGTCCACACTTAAATAAGGGCAGCACTGGACAACCATTTATTTAAATATAAACGAATAAAATATACTTAATAAATATGGAACTAGAAGTTCTAGAACCACACACACGTAATGCTCCATTTTTATTTTTTTGTTTCCTGAAATTCCTGATAATACCCATATCACTAATTTTATTTCTTTTGAGCATAGCTTACTTTGATAGCTGTGGTAATTTTTTTGTTATCTCACGTCACGTATTTGGAACATGGTTATGGGTACGCACATAGATATATTTACAAATTTGTACATTAGAATTTTATCATCCTTGGAAAGTTTAAATACGCAAACATTTGCCATGGTCATCGATAGACAAGGCCGTCGAGTTAGCCATGAAATTCAAATTATATACACATATTAATCGGAAGATCGCAAATTATCCTGTACTACCATTTATTTCAAATGTGAAAAATTCTGTTTCGATAATTATTAACTTAAACCATCAATGTGCAAGTTCCACTCTGGCGTCAAACGGTCTTTACCTCATCAAAATTATTGTTGTAGTTACGTACAATATCCGTCCGGGTTTCCCCGAATTTGTCCTAATTCGAAAAAACTCCGAATTTTCCGACTAGTCGAGTCTGGAGAACACTTGAACGGACTACTATTATGAAAATAAATTTAATATTAAAGGAATGCCTGACATTACTGATGTATTAAAAGTTTTGTATAAAACAAAGAACTGTTCAGGATCAGATTTTTTTTAACAAAAATAAATCACATTTTTATTTGTGAATTTGCTGAATTTGGAAAAATGATTATTGATTAGTGCACGTTTGTGGTACGGCTTTATATGGATGTGAAAGGTTAGATGCATCTAACAGAAAAACAGCGAGCGCTATAGAAAACAATAAAAAATAGGCAAAATAAGTTGATAAGACACTTTTTCAGACATGAAAGACTAATTAGACATAGGAGAAGCAAAAACAGGAGTTAACAAGGGTAGGGCCATGCAGTTTTTTTAAAAAATATTTTATACTTAAGTAAATGTAGAAAATTAAATAGGTACCACANTATCTCTTCTGAATACTTAGTATTGTAAATTATTATCTATAATAAACTATTTTACCTATTATTGATAGCAAACTGTTCATAAGTAGGAAACCTCCAATGTTTAAAATTAGATTTCATAAATTATAAAAAAACAGTAATAACTAAACCTGTTATTAAATATTGTATGTTGCATTTATCTATTGATGTTCTTGATATTCCTTGTTTGTTTATAGATCAACGTTTGGATTTATGTAAAGCATCCCAAGATGACAACGAACCGGTTAAGGGACAAATTATCATATCACTCCTGTCCAGAGATGGGCCTTGCGGCGGCACTCCGTTAGCTGTTGTAGGTCCTTTAGGTGAACTCAGGGGACCCGCAAATCGCGACATATCACCCAATGAAAATGATGATCTGCCTCCCGGATGGGAGGAACGCAGGACGGCCAATGGTCGTCTTTATTATGTCAATCACATGACCAGAAGCACTCAATGGCTTAAACCGCAAATGACAAGTAAAAATAGAACCTCTTTAACAAATGGTAACACACGTTCAATCAATAATCAAACAAATAATGCCAATCCAGATAATAATAACGTAAATGAGATAAGAGTTCAACAAAACGATAATACTAATGTGGAAGTTCAAACCTCAGTGACCTCTAGCAGACCTAGTTCAAGTACATCACCCACATCACCAGTCATCAGTCCTCAAAAGGAGCATGTAGTGCCTTTGCGACCTGCACCGACAGTGCCCATTGTTACTGTAGAAAATAATGTTCAAAAACCTCCATACATATCACAGCGTTCCAATAGTTTCATTCCTGCTCCAAACAAAAGCTGTAACGTGCCTACCAACGTGCCCAAACTTACCAGTCAATCGACAAATACAATTTTTGTTAACAGTAACGTTTCCAGTCCCACAAATGTAATTTTTTCCAACAATTCAAACCCTGTCAATAACTACAATTCGCCCAATAATTTAAATAATACAAGTGCATTAAGTTTCAATGGGGAAAATGTTAGCGGACCGAACACTAGTGTAAATAGTACTAATAATAATAATAACATAAATGCTGTCAATAATGGTGCCGAAAATATTGGCGGTAGTAGTAGTGGTTGTGGTAGTAGTAGTACAAGCGATGTAATTGGTGTTATCAACACTCAAAACTCTGCTATTAGTTCAGCTCAAGCGTCAAGAGCAAGTGCAAGAGAGAGGAGACAAAGGACTTCTGAAGAAAGAAGAGTTGACAGTGCCGGACGTAAACGGTCTGCTAGAAACAGGAATTCAATAGATGTATCTCAGATGACTCCATCTACAGCTTATACTGCCCACAACTCAAAATTGGATCTGCCACCCGGTTATGGTAAATTATATTTTTTTTTGGCTTTCATTTAGCTAAAGTACCTAATAAATATAGAAAATATAGATTTGGTCTATCAAAAAGAAGAAAACATAAAACTTCATTCTATACCCATCAAAATATAAAGCGAAAAATGTTCATTCAATGTTTTTTTTTTTATAAAGAGTAACTCTTCATAAAATTTATTTTTTTTTTTCCTAATACCCAATTTAGCTCAGTTAATTTATTTATTAGAATTACGAACAACGCAACAAGGTCAAGTGTACTTCTACCACATACCAACAGGGGTCTCAACATGGCACGATCCCCGTATACCTAAAGATCTTGCGCCTTTGGGTCTTTCATTAGATTCGCTTGGACCACTACCACCAGGTTGGGAAATGCGCCAAACAGCTTCCGGACGGGTAATGATTTTCACGTTCTTAAAATATTTTCATAAAAACCATTGTCTCCAATTTAGGTTTATTTCGTTGATCATAATAACCGCACGACCCAGTTCACCGATCCTCGACTTAACGCACAAATACTTGCCAACATTCTTCGTAAAAATCATCCCCCAATAATAGTAACAACCACCACGGCGACTGCCACAACATCTACGACCACGACAGTTGCACAAATCACGCCAAGTACATCGGGTCTTGGGTTGGCCAACATCAATCAACCTTCAACCCCATCAGGTGCAAGCTCTACATCCACTCCTGTCGTTTCACCATCACAAAACAATGTCGCACAACAAACTTCACGAGTTCGACATTCCGAGAATTTGGATCTCCCTCACGGTCTTTTAAATGATTCTGAGCATTTACCAAAATATCGAAGAGATCTGGTCAGTAAACTCAGAGCTCTTAGAGCCGAACTGACTGCTCTTCAACCTCAGAGCGGCCATTGCAGACTTGAGGTGTCTCGAAATGAGGTTTTCGAAGAAAGTTATAGGTGAGTTAAATAACGGCAAGAAAACTGATAATCTTCATTGAAAATAAATTTTGTTTCTCGGCAGATTAATTATGAAAATGAGACCAAAAGACATGCGCAAAAGACTTATGGTAAAATTTAAAGGCGAGGAAGGTTTAGATTATGGCGGAGTAGCAAGAGAATGGTTACACCTTTTATCACGCGAAATGTTGAATCCTCAATATGGTTTATTCCAGTACAGCAGAGAAGATCATTATACTTTGCAAATTAATCCCGACTCATCCATTAATCCAGAACATTTGTCTTACTTCCACTTCGTCGGTCGGATTCTTGGTATAGCTGTATTCCACAACCACCAACTAGAAGGAGGTTTTACACTGCCCTTTTATAAACAACTTCTTAATAAACCCATTACATTACAAGATATTGAAGGTGTGGATCCCGAACTTCACCGAAGCTTAACATGGATGTTGTAAGTAATTAATTCAATTAAATGTAGCCAATTTTATCAAACATGAAAGGATAGTTATGTTATTAGGTAGGAATAAACTACATCGAGTATTTAAACAGTTAGGTTTTGGTATAAATAATAGAAAAAAAGGTGTATAAAAATTGGCTTTTTTTATAAAACGGTATTTGTTCTTCATAATTTTTTCAGACATATATTTTTGAATTTAAGTCTTAATTTCTCAAAAATTTATTTTTGTAGTAATTTTTTTTCTCTTTATTTCTCAGGGAAAATAACATTCAGGGTGTTATCGACACAACATTCTCGGTGGAAAATAACAGTTTCGGTGCTATAAAGGTCCACGAATTGAAATCAGGTGGTGCTGGTGTAACTGTTACTGAAGAAAATAAAAAAGAATACGTGAAATTGTACGTTAATTACCGTTTTATGCGCGGAATAGAACAACAATTTTTAGCCCTTCAGAAAGGTTTTACCGAACTAGTACCACCAGCCCTTTTGCGTCCTTTTGACGAACGAGAACTTGAACTGGTGATCAGCGGTATTGGCTCGATCGATATCGCTGACTGGCGTTCGAACACACGTCTAAAACATTGCACCCCCGAAACTCCGGTAGTGCAATGGTTCTGGCAAGTCGTAGAGTCTTATTCGGAGGAGATGCGTGCCCGACTTTTGCAATTTGTCACAGGATCGTCTCGAGTGCCCCTTCAAGGATTTCGAGCTTTGCAAGGAAGTACAGGAGCTGCAGGCCCCCGCTTATTTACGATTCACTGTGTGGAAGTATCTCCACAAAATCTTCCCAAGGCTCATACGTGTTTTAATCGAATTGATATTCCACCCTACGAATCATATCAGGTGCTATCAGACAAATTGACACAAGCAGTTGAAGAAACGTGCGGTTTCGCGGTCGAATGATGGAAATTTATTGGTTAACTTGGTAAACGTTTATAAATCATATTGTTTGAACCTTATTCAAAGGCCTAGTGGACAATAATTGAAACAGAAAATTCTTAAAATGCGTACTTATGAACGAAAAGGGCAGATTTTCTTTAAACAGAATAGGAAAGAGGGTTACCGCTTAAAATAAGAAAGTGCCTGGTAATGGGATAAATTATACACAAAGAGATTCTTTTCTGGGCAACGTTAGAATTACATTACTTGATTACAAAGAATTGTTAGAAAGCGTTCTTTTTATATCAAAAGTGACTGAAAATAGTGAAAATTATCAATTTAAAATAAACGACTTATTTTAAATGCTAAGTAAACAAACAAAATTAATTAGGTCAGCAAATATTAAATAGGTACAGTAATACTCCCAACTTACACGTTAGGTATCGAATAAGTCGAATTCACGTATGTCAGGATACAATTTTGCATAAAAAAAAATACAAACTATGTTTAATTGGAACCGGACACTAAAGAAAACAATAATTTAATAGAAAAACGTTTAATAAAGTCTTAGGTGATACAACAAATTATCTGACGCATCAGTGATTTTTCTTCTTACACATAACTTCCCAAGAGCAACCTAATAACTTTTCTATTTCTTGTTTTGTGGCAGAAATACTCTCTTCGTAGGAGTGCAAGTTTTCCAAGATTTGTAACCCTTTTTCAATTAAATTAAGGTTTTCTGTCAAGTTATTAATATCTTTTGCGTAAAGACGAGGTATTACTGTACGTAAATTTAAACTTTTGATAAATAAAATAATTAATGGGTTAATTAATAAGCTAATCAGGCGCCATTTTTTTAAAATAGTAAAAAGTACATTTTTTACGAGAATTAAACTCAATATAGTATGGAAGGGTTCTTTATAAATTGTTTACTGCTAAAAATAAGACAACCCTTTTAAAACAATAATAAGAAATGTCATGTCTTATTATTAAAGATAAGCAATAATAAAGTTATTTTTCATTACATATCAAACTTTTGATGACAATAAAAAAAGAACGTTTTAAAAAAGAATTGAAATATATTTTCTCATTCAAAAGATTATTAAAATTATCAAATGTTCACAAAGTGTGTTTTATAATATTGTCCCATGAAAAGAAATCACATTGTGGGTGCCTTTGTTCAGTATTTTTGAAGGGAAAATGTGATTTACATTCAAAGAAAATGCATTCCCTAAAAGAAGTCGTATTACAAAAATTTGTAAGGAAAATCAATTAATTATGCAATAGTAAGAAAGGACGTACATTTTAATGAGAGCTATTACAATCATTTTTTGCTATTTATTGTTTAAATAGAAAAAATCCAATGTATTCATTGTTAGTAATATTATAGTTACGCAGTATTTTTAAGTAATACTTCAGTCTTCAATCAGTAAATTGTTATAATACTTTTGTAAAATGTAGCCTTTGAAACCGTAACTCTTACAATACTACATTAAATGAAATAAAATATAAAGTAGCCTTCTAACAGCTAAATAATGTAATTTTGCAGGTCATCTGATATTTACTGTGAAAAAAATCAGAACAGTGCCTTTATGTATCCATTTAGGACCAAATCAACCTTTAAAAAAAAGCATTTCAGAAATATGTATAGCAATAAAACAGCTTCATAGAAGCTTTAAAAATTACAAATCTCAGTAAAAACATTGAGATTAGTACTTATAAATCAAATTTAACACATTTCAAAATGCTTTACTTAGGTAATATTGTTATTTATTATTATTACTATTACGGCGGATTTGTGTTATAAATAATACACCCACTGATATTTTAGGTATTGACTTTAGGCTTCTCTAAAGATGTGAAAAATTCTAATGTTTTTCATGTTCGATATTTACCTTAAACAAATTGTCGTGTACAAAAGCTGATTACGTTTAGGGTGCTTTCGTCCTAATATTCTGAAAGAATTTAAATCGTGTGGCTTCCAAGGTTGTTAAACGTTTGGCTTCAAAAATGTTTTAAAAAAGATAGAAGTCAAAATGTAGAATTGGTAGATATGGTACATATCAATGGTACTGTTATAAATAATTTATGTGGTTTAATTAGAACCTTTTAAAGCAAAATGGCTGTTAAAAGTATGTATGTTTCGTAGATAAGTTTGTACTTTTGTAATTATGGAGATGCAAGTACTTTTAGGACTTTTAATTACTCTAACAGGTGGTTATTTATAGATATTTAATTTTTGCACATTTTTATAAGATTTGTATATGTTAAGGTGGTTCATATTTTAGATATTTTTGAATTGAATGTTTATCTTTAAAAACAAAAATCGCAAAGATATTAAAAATTAAAAAATGTGAATCATTTTTAATTCCAGACGATTTTTTCTGATTTACTATCTTCACTTATACAATCTCATTTCTCAACCTTTTCATTTGTGAAATTATTTATAAAACAAATTATTTGTACTTTACATCTAAAACTTATATAATTCTGGACCTATGTAGTTCTAACCGTTGGATGACCAAGGGCGATCAAAATTGGCCTCAATAGTTTTGAAGAATATAAGCATGTATTAATAATTTTAATATTATATTTGTTTATTAAAGAAAAACCAGTAAATCAAATTTATATGTCATTACATATTAACGGTATAGCTGTATTCCACAACCACCAACTAGAAGGAGGTTTTACACTGCCCTTTTATAAACAACTTCTTAATAAACCCATTACATTACAAGATATTGAAGGTGTGGATCCCGAACTTCACCGAAGCTTAACATGGATGTTGTAAGTAATTAATTCAATTAAATGTAGCCAATTTTATCAAACATGAAAGGATAGTTATGTTATTAGGTAGGAATAAACTACATCGAGTATTTAAACAGTTAGGTTTTGGTATAAATAATAGAAAAAAAGGTGTATAAAAATTGGCTTTTTTTATAAAACGGTATTTGTTCTTCATAATTTTTTCAGACATATATTTTTGAATTTAAGTCTTAATTTCTCAAAAATTTATTTTTGTAGTAATTTTTTTTCTCTTTATT